ACACATAAATATATACTGAAATATGTGCACTTTTTTTCTTTTTCTCTCTCTCTCTTTTTTTTAGAGATTTTTGTTATAGGGCACATGTGCTCACTGGAGAGATAGAAAGAGAGAAAGCAAGAAATCATCCCCCAGTGGGGACGGCCACACTGCAATCCCTTCTCCTTTGCTCTCCTCTTGGGATTTTGGGCATGCATGCACACGTGGCTGGTGTGAATTTTAAGCTGCCTGGTCTGGAACTTGAACCATGGTTGACTACATGGGAGTCCAGCGGCATAGCCATTACGCCATCTGCTGGTCTCAGCACATTTCTTATTAACTGCATAGGAAAGAAAGAAGCCTTGTGGGAAATCACATAAACTTCCACAAAGCTTCATAATTTAAAGTAAACAATAAAGACAGGTTATAATTGGATTGAAAAATCTTTTAGCTGAAATCAGATGTTTCAAAGACAGAGGGCAAAAACAACTACTTACAGGGACCAGCAGTTGGCTTAATGGCTATGTTGCTGGACTCCCATGTAGTCGACCACAGTTTGAATCCCGGACCTGGTGGCTTAAACTCATGCAGGGCATGTGTACATGCGTGATCACGGGCATGTGTGTACATGTCCCCAGTGTGTGCAGCTGACTGGGAACTGAACCTCAATATTCCACATAGCTTACAGCATTGTAGAGTGGTAGGCTACTGCTGTGCCACTGTGGCTTAGCCTGCATTTATATTTTTTATTGTTACTATTTTTTTTTGAGAGATTTTTGGTGTAGGGTGTATGCACTCGCCAGAGACAGAGAGACAGAAAGCAAGAAATCACCTCCCTAGGGAATGGCCATGCCACAATCCCTTTGCCTCCGTTCTCCTCTCGGGATTTTGAACACACGCATACACATACGTCTGGCATGAGTTTTAAGCCTTCGGATCCAGGATTCAAACAGTCACATGGGAGTCCAGAACCTTAACCACTACACCACCTGCTGGCCTCTACATTTATATTTTAAGAATGTTGAAAGTATGACACACCCTGTATATCATCTTACAGACCAGCAGCATCAGCACCATTTAGGAGCTTGTAATGGATTGGCCGTGTCCCAGACCTACTCAGGCAGCATCTGTATTTTGACAGGATTTTTGGATGACTTGTATACCCTTTACGTAGCTGACATTTGAGGGGCCCTTGCTAAAATTACTAATTTTTTTGCATTGCTTTCTGGATGACAGATTGGTCTGCTAATTCAAACCATGATGTATACAACTATTAAACTGATGACCCTTAAAGTTCTAACAAGATTAGATGGTTCTAACCAGATACTAAGACCATCCAGTAATCATTAAAAACTTGAAGTGGGACAGGAAGGTAATCCCTTCCTTTATCATACAATCCAGGTGGAAACTAAACAGTCTTCCAAATGACACCAGAGTAATCATTTATTCAATATGTATTTCAAATCTGAATGCTAAGTCATCCAAACTTCATATGCTACATATATTACCATGAAATAAAGCCAACGATTATTTTTATAGTGAGTTAAGCATTTCTTCAAAAAAAGTTTAAGAAATTTCCAATATACCTTTACTGGCACTAAATAGCTCTATTCCTATCTGCTCTTTAACCTTGTTTCAATCCTGCTTTGTATCCTGGGGGAATCTAAGACTATTTCAACATAACAAGTCAGTGGAGGAATTCTCTCCTTCTCAACTTGGCACTTTAGGCTCCCAGGAAGGGAGGTACCAGGTCTCCTCCTTTCAGCTCCTCCTCCAGGTACCAGGAGGGAAAATGTTCCTTTACAATCAAGCAACAGATTAACTGATGTGAAGAAATAAAGAGTTAAAGGGATAAAAGAAAATAAAAGCCCAGAAATCACCATCTAGTAACGCCTCAACTAAGAATTCTGGTAAGGTAAGTGAATTGTCCTAGTTACAATGATAATTTCTATTAGAAATAATACACGTTCCTTGGCAGCTAGAAATGTTAATTTTATGTTAATTTTATGTGGTAAAAAATTACCAGCTACCCCAGGGTTGTTAGAAATATGATTGTTTTCCATGTATTTGGTCCTGTTGCAAAGTTAATGTTACTGAATATATGTATGAATGTGTGTGTGTATATATATATATATATATATATATATATACACACAAACACATAAATATATACTGAAATATGTGCACTTTTTTTCTTTTTCTCTCTCTCTCTTTTTTTTAGAGATTTTTGTTATAGGGCACATGTGCTCACTGGAGAGATAGAAAGAGAGAAAGCAAGAAATCATCCCCCAGTGGGGACGGCCACACTGCAATCCCTTCTCCTTTGCTCTCCTCTTGGGATTTTGGGCATGCATGCACACGTGGCTGGTGTGAATTTTAAGCTGCCTGGTCTGGAACTTGAACCATGGTTGACTACATGGGAGTCCAGCGGCATAGCCATTACGCCATCTGCTGGTCTCAGCACATTTCTTATTAACTGCATAGGAAAGAAAGAAGCCTTGTGGGAAATCACATAAACTTCCACAAAGCTTCATAATTTAAAGTAAACAATAAAGACAGGTTATAATTGGATTGAAAAATCTTTTAGCTGAAATCAGATGTTTCAAAGACAGAGGGCAAAAACAACTACTTACAGGGACCAGCAGTTGGCTTAATGGCTATGTTGCTGGACTCCCATGTAGTCGACCACAGTTTGAATCCCGGACCTGGTGGCTTAAACTCATGCAGGGCATGTGTACATGCGTGCCCAAGATCCCAAGAGGAGAATGGAGGAGAAGGGATTGTGGCGTGGCCACCCACGCTGGGAGGGACTGTTCACTTTCTATCTCCCTGTCTCTCTCTGTCTTTCTGGCGAGAGTACATGCCCTATAGCAAAAACCTCTCCAAAAAAAACAAAAACAAAACAAAACAACTATTTACCTACTGTTTCTAAGGCAATTATATACTTGTGTAAGGACAGTAAACCCAGACCTCCTTCATGTGGGGCCACACTGGTAGTCACACCACATGTAATATTAAATAGGAATCTTTGTCTTAATTGTACAATGAAACCTTTGAGACGGTAGCATGTTAAAAATCAGTGTCCTCAGCCCTCATGCCCAGGGAGAGATGGAGGATGGCACAGGGCACTGTAGGAGCAAGACTGAGACCCTGGAAAACCTGGCTTCACGTTCTGGCTTTATCCCTGGGGCTCTGTGGCCTCTTCTTAACCATAGTTTTGTTTTGTTTTCTTACAGGTAAGTGTATGTTTTTATGACTATAGCAAAAGATCATGGAGCCTAGCACACAAATGTGGTCAAAACAGTACACATTTTCATCATTATAATTCTTATTATTAGAGAGATGCAAATGGGAACCGGCACTTCTATAAAAACATCATTTATTGCTTTAAAATCTTATGATGGATATCTTCCAGTCAATGTCAAAACCAACCTACCTTTGTTAATTTGCCCATGGAGATGCTATTAAATGTTAAGTGATTAAAAACAGACTCATCATATTCAATCTATCAACTCAATCAGATGTTCAAAAGAAACAACTTAAAGGGATCAGCTCGATTAGACTGATCATACAGTGATGCTTTCTGACTCCTTAAATATTTCAGTCCCTCTCCTGCTTTCAGAAGGAACCCCAGGGAGGAGACACAGATTCCAGTAGAGGATGCGCTCACACGTGTGCTACATTATAAGAGGCTTTGGAGAGATGGCACTAGCATGCAGGCTACCAGGATGGTCCCGAGACCACGGTGGGCATAACACTTGGGCCAAACCAACAAGGTTCATTTGTTACCAACAATTCCCCCAAGGACCCTGGAATACTGACCATGCCTCCATCTGAGTGTGCTAAGTTGCTCAGCTGTCCAGAAACTCTCCCACGGGTTGTACAGACACAGTGACAAATCCATTGCCAACGGAGGGAAAAGACCTGTGTCTACATCTGAATGCACTAACAGAAATACGTTCAGAAACAATGATTTTTGCAGTATCTTTAAAATGAATTATTCTGGGTAATTTCCCGACCAAACCCTTGCTCTCTAAAACCAGACAATACAGTTTTTATTGCCTTTACACTGGTTTTGGGTCAAAAGAAAGAAAAGTTCAAACTTAACGTCTCACAAACAGCCACATGGTTATCCTGCTTGTGAACTAAGAGGACGGTCAGGGTCATGGATGTGTGCTGTGCACTCACAGACTTAACCCTCTGCATCAGGGCCACCTGTTTCCAATGCACTTTGTACCACAAGCAATAGAAATCAGGAAAACCGGGTCTCTGATATCTAACTCGATTTGCTTCAATCAATGATAACTATTAATACAGTTTTAGAGAGAACTAGGGAAGGTGATGTTTTCATAACAACTTCACATTATTTTTCAGAACGTAATGTACTAAAATAAATTTAATCTACTTTCAATAGATTATTCAGTTTTTTTCCTTTCATTTCCTGAAAACGATTAGACTGGAACTTAAGTAATGACAATGATGGAGCTAATCAATCCTACTTCAGATGTAATTCAAAATATATGCCATGATTCATTTTAGAAAGGATAATTTGAGGGACTGTATTGCAAGAGGACTGCTTTGACTCTGGATTTACATGGCAACATTTGAAACCAGTGGTCTAGCTAACACAGGCAACCATGCAGAAGGAGTTGCAACATTTACAGACATACCAAAGTAATTCTGACATACCAAAGTAATGCTGAGAGTAAATAGAGGATAAGTTAGAATGGGTTCATGGTTTCAGTGTGGGTAACTTGAATTCACGGCAACAAAATCGAGTTCCTTTCAAACATAATATGTAAACTATTTTGATCTCTCAAAAGAGATCATACTCTGTAAGATGCATGCAGCGACTGAAAATTTACCTTGATTTTAAAAAAAGTTCAGAGAAAGGAATTCCTTCTCCATTTTCCTTAGTAACTCCAATCTATTTTTAATCCAGGTAAGAACTCTGAGTTAACATTTTATAACATCCTGGCCACGGCCATGTCCGATTCCTTCTATTCCCACCCACCACCAACCCTCCAAAAATGTAAAATAAAAACTCCGTCCTGAAACAAAACAAAATAATATTGAGCAAAGAGCTCAACCATTTTTGTTTAAAGGGGAACACATTGGTAACAGGATCTCCACTCCATCACTTAACTCATCTGCTTGGGGACGGCTAAGTGCTCCCGTGGCTTGAGAGAAAAATCCAACGCCAAGAGTTTAAGGGAAGCATCCCGACCGGCCGACAGCTGGCAGTGGAAGCGCTTGGCCATGGAGCGTCCTCCCAGGTGGAGCACTGCTACACGTCGCTGGGCGACCGCGCTCTCTGCGAGAGACTGGAGGGAATGCAGCCGCAGCACACGAGGCAGAGGGCCTTCTGGATCTCCTGGTTTCTGAAAGCATAGATGACCGGGTTGATGATGGAATTGTAGGTGGCGGGCAGAAGGGTGGCGTAGGTGTAGATGGAGGGGTAGGTGTAGTCTGCTATCAAGGAATAGAGGGTGAAAGGCATCCAGCAGGCAGCGAAGGTCCCCAGGATGATAGCCAGGGTCGAGACCCCTTTCCGGGTGGTCACATAGTGCGATGTGGCCAAGAAGTGGTGCTGCAGGGCGATCTGGTGGGCGTGCCTCATCACGATCTTACAGATCTGCACGTAGAGCTGAAGCATGAGCGCAAACAGGAAGAGGAAGGAGACCGAGAGGATGGCTGCGTTGTTCTTGGTGAGCGGTCTGACCACGCTGCAGGTGGACTCGTCGCGCAGGCAGTTCCAGCCCAGGATGGGCAGCAGCCCCAGGCAGATGGACGTGCCCCAGAGCATGACAAGCATGACGTAGGTGAACGTGACTGTCCTCTCCGAGTGGTACGTCAGGGCGTAATACAGCGAGAGATAGCGGTCCACTGTGATGGCCAGCAAGCTGCAGACAGAGGCAGAGAAAGAGGCGACAATGAGTCCGATCGTGGCCAGCTTGGTGGCTTCCGACTGGAGCAGGTAGGCAAAGACGAAATTGATGATGAGTCCAAGGCCGGCCAGCAGGTCTGCCAGGGCCAGGCTGCCTATGAGCAGGAACATGGGCGCTCGCAGGCTGGGGTTGTGGAAGATGATAAGGACCACGACGGCATTCTCACAGGAGATGAGGGTTCCCGAGGTACACAAGACAATGTCCCAGGGGTTGACTGTGAGCTCGGGCTCCGGCTCTAGGACAGGAACCTGGGAGGAGTCGGCCGCCGAGATGTTCTCCGCAGCACCGGCGTCTGAGTAATCCTGAGGCAGCCGGCTTAAATTGACCTTCAGGTCTTCATTCATTTTAACCCCTGTCCTCTTCAACGAAAAGACAGGCTTTTTAATGTTTAGGCACAGTAGGGTCACAATCCACAATCATGCCCCAAACACACGAACAGACAGAAAGCCAGCCCCGACTCACACACCAGAATCAAATGCCACAAGCTTCGGGAATTAGAAACTGTTGTGAAGCCAAACAAACAAAAGCCGAAGTCTCCGGGTTTGAACCCCACCACAAACATGCTGGCTGGCACTGGGGACAAACACAAGGTAGGACCTGCACGCGCGACGCGGGCGAGGCAGGCACACGCGGGCTCGCGGCCGGGGATGCACGTTTTGCATGCCGAACACCAACAACTGTTTGCCCTCTGGGCTGCTGCCGGGGAGCCACGCGGCAGCGGCAAGTCGCGAGCCGGGGCCGCCATCCTCGGTGGAATACTCAAATCGCCGATTTCCATCCAATTCCCACCCTCCCAAAGCATCCCTCGCGCGCGTGCACACCCTCAAACACACCCCCGACAAGAACAAAGAGAGGGTCCCAGACTCCCTGTGTGCACGGGGCAGTGGGGGAGGGCCACAAAGGCAGGTGTGTCCAATGGAGGTAGGGAGACAGACAGATGCCCATGCACTGCCGCCGCTCCCCTCGCAGAGGGGCTGGGCAGCGGACGCCAGGGGGACGGATGGGACTGCGGCGGCCCGCGGGGCGAGGTCATCGAGGGGGTCACCTTGCGTGCTCAGGCCGAGAGGGCTCCTCTGGTGCTTCCAAAGCGCACGGGCTACTCTGGTCGCATGTCTGCGCGGGTGCCCGCAGCGGCGAGGGGCGGCGGCCGGCTCCGGAGTGGCCAGGGAGGGCGCGGGGTGCGCGCTCCGCCGCAGGTGAGCGGCGCGC